AACATTTTTTATTGATTTATAATCATTTCACAATGTGTGTCAAATTCCAGTGTTCAGCACAATTTTTCAGTCATTCATGGACATATACACACTCATTGTTACATTTTTTTCTCTGTGAGTTATCAAAACATTTTGTGTATATTTTGTTCTGTATGTTTTTAAATCTCACCCATTGTACTTAATTCTATATCTTGCCTTTTATACTAGACATTATGTTTTAAAGTTTCTTCACATTGATACATATAACTTTATTTTTAACTGCTGTATAGTTGTATCATAAAACAAATAGATTACAAATTATTTATTCTTTTGATAGATATTTGAGTTATAGCCCGTTTTTTCTTTTTTTCTTTTAATGGTAACAAACACTTTGTAATATAAATCTTTGTGTATTTATGCTGGAGGTTTCTTTGGCAACTAAATTTTTACATGTTAGACCCCCATAGTTGCTTGTTAGGTCCTAGGGTTTTCAAAGTTTATACTCTTCTGTAAGTCATTAAGTACATTCTCTTATTGGAAAAGAGCAAGCCGTACAGAAGTTAGAGAAATAAACTGAATTACAGGAAGAAGTCTTTCCAACTGTTGCAACTTGTAAACCAACTTGTGGTATATAAAAATACTTACTATTTTTATATTGTCTAAATTTTTAGCCTTTTGAAGTCTGGTTGACTTTATTTATGCAGCTTCTGCTCATTGTGGAAAATGTAGATGCCATGGAAGATATAAAGAAGGAGCAGAAATATTATCATCCCAGTACCCAAAGGAAATCACTGTTGATGTTTTATTTAGGTTTCCCTTTAGTTGGTTTTTTTTTAATTTTTAATTTTTTTATGTCCATTACTGTATAAACTAAAATTAACAATTTTTTACATCTTAGTACCTATTTCCTGGTTTAATAAGAACATGTTTTTGCTCCTCCACTTACTTACTCTATTCCATATACTTGCACAAAATTAATGTATATATGAAGACAATACCTGAAGTTTAAAAAGAATATTATCAATCAACCTGTCAAAAGCTCTCCCTTCCCATGGTCCCTTCAGTTTAGCATGTATCCCCCCTCCATAGTAACCGCTGTCCTCACTTCCAACATCATTGATATGTTTGCTGATTCGGTACCATATATAAATAGAATTGTGCAGTTTGTTCTTTTTTTGTGTCTGGCTTCTCTTGCTCGAGATTATGTTTGTGAAAGTCATCCATGTTGTATGTAGTTGTGTTTTTAATTACTTCCTAGTATGTAATTTATCCATTCTAACATTGATGGGCATTTGGGTAATGTCCATTTTGGGACTCTTATCAATAGTATTACTGTGAACATTTTGGAACTTGTCTTTTGGGGAGCATGGTACACATTTCTGTTGGTTACATTCCCAGGAGTGAAACTGTTGAGTCATGAGGCATACTTACATTTAGTTCTAATACAGGAGATGGCAAACTTTGAAAAGGGCCAGATAGTGAATATTTTAGACTTTGTGGGCCTGTCAACCCTGTTAAAACCATTCTTAGCTCAAAAACAGATAACGGCCAAATTTGACCTGTAGACCATGGTTTGCTGCCTCCCGCTCTAACAGAGTTTTCCAAAGGGGTTACACTGATTTATGCTTCCACTAGACAATACGGATTACTGTGCATCCTTGCCAACGCTTAGTATTTCTATCTTTTTTTTTGTTATGGCAATTCTTTGATTGTGTGTTGGTTGTAAACAATTGTGAGGATTGTTTTTGGTTTTGCTTTTGCTTTTGACTTAATTTTGGAATAAAAAAATAACTATTTTCCAAAATAATTACTTTATTGACCTAACTATGGACTTACTATAAAATAGATCATTGTAATAGTGAAACCTCCATTGTGTTTCCCTCAGGATACACTTAAAATGTTTTATTTGTGACTAAGGTAATTATTAAAGCATTCTCTTTATATTAAAAGTGTATTGGGAATTTCTTGCTTTGTATTTTCTTTATATAAATATGGCAATTTTTTTTAAGCTCAGTTTATTCTGAAAATCTGTTTATTTTATTCTTTAGGATCAGTTCCTTTTTCTTCCATGTCTATTGTTATGAATTTTGTTAAAAAATTTTTTTTTCATCTCGTTTTATTTTAGGATGTTCAAGATCCTTCAATATTTGTAACTTTCCCTTTGGAGGAAGATGAAAACGTGTCCTTGGTTGCTTGGACGACAACTCCCTGGACTCTGCCTAGTAACCTTGCCCTGTGTGTTAATCCAGATATGCAGTATGTGAAAATTAAAGGTCAGTGGGAGCCTGGTTACTTACGATTGATACGGATAAGACAGTTTTCACTTATTTTGGGAGAGAATGAAAGCTTACATTTCTCTCTGGAGTGAAAATAGAACTTTTTTAAAAAATGTATTAGACTTAATCAGGAAAATTACCTCTGAGAGGGTTATTTTATTCTCATTTCTGATTAAAAATTAACACAAAAATTAAAATTGTATAGAGATATAGGAAGTAAAAATTTCTTACAATTTTCAGATTATAATACACTTTTACATGTCATGCTCCTATTACAGATGAAGAACTTGAGATTCAAAGAGGTGGCATCTCATTATTAGGAATCTCCAATGTGTGTTTTCTCAACACTACCAAGCACTTAACTCAGTTCAGGCACTAGGTATCTGCAGATAGAGTCAGATATCACAGTCAGTCCTGCAAGACCGCCCCCACCACTGCATCCCCAATTCAGATGCCAGTTGTAAGTCCCAGTTGTCACCTGTGATTCTAACCTACGCATGACTTCCTTGGGTCTGAGGAGCAGCTCACGGAAGTCAGAGTAGGGTTGTAGTTATTAGATTATCTGTTTATTAAAAAAGGATATTGTAAAGGGTACGCATGAGTGGCCAGATAAAGAGAGAAATAGGGTGAGATCTGGGAGGGTCGCAAGCACGGGAGCTTCTGTCTCTGTGGAACTGGGGTGTGCTGTGCTCACGGCATGCGGATGTGTTCACTGCCCTGGAAACTCTCCGAACCCCATCCTTTGCGGTTTTTATGGAGGCTGTATTACACAGGTGCATTGATTAAATCATGGGCTGTTGCTGATTAAGCTCAATTTCCAACCCCTCTCTCTTCCCCCAGGGGTTCAGGGTGGGGGGGGGGAGGGGAGCCTGGAGGTGAGGGTGTGAAAGTTCTAATTTTGTAACCCTGTGATTGGTTCCTCCTCCTTAGGTTACCTGGGGGGGGGGTTCCAAATGTCACCTCATTAACATAACAAAAGACACTTATGCCACTCATCCCTCAGGATGTTTCACGGGGTTTAAGAGTTCTGCCGGAACAGGGACAAAGACCAAGTATATATTTCTTATTATAAACCACAGTATCATAGACTCGGTGCCAGAGCTTGAGAACTTTGCGCCTTTCAAATATTCCCTGATATCAAGTTAACCATGGTCTCAGTGAGGCCCTTTCCCTAGAAATCTATGTGAAAAAAGAAAATTGGTACTTTTAGATTTCAGTAGTTTATGACTGAGCAGGGAGAAGCCAGGGAAAGAAGGAAAACTCATAGCCAAAAAAAATGTGTTTTCCAAGATAGTTGACTTGATCCACAATGGCTTGTGGTGTCAAGGGAAGAATATTGAGAAAGGAACAGGAAAGGATTGGGGATCAGTAAACAGGTATTTATTATTATTATTATTATTTAGCTGTGCCTTCAAAGTAGCTAGGACCAAGAATGGGTTTCTCATGATGCTGCTGGGAGAGAGCTGTTGTCCACACAGAGCCTGGCCCTGGTGTCTGCTGCTGCTTCTCTGGGCAAGTGCATTTCTGTCTGTATAAGGTCCCTGTGCACCTGAGGGTCGTGGCCATTCTGAAGGGAGCCTGCCGGACTTAAAGGCTATCAGTCGTGTCATTTCTCTGCCTGCATGTGACTCTTGTACTTGGTGGGCTGTGTGTTCTGTATTTTATTCAGAAAATGACATTCCTTTGAGAGCAGAGCTGGTGAGTGGCAGCAGTATTTGTGGTAGTTTTTCAGTGAATTGCAAAGGCCTTCACAGTGATCCGTAGAGTCTCATTTTTCTTACAGTAAATGTATGTCATAAGCTCTGGTAAATTCTTCGGTATGTCGTACTTTACAGGTGGAAGTTTAAATTAGCCTTAATTTTTAAAGGCAATTTGTCAGTATCTATTAAATTTTAAATGTTTATGCATTTGTTTCAGCTTTTCTAAGAATAGTGTCCTCCAGAAACATGTCCAATAAGGATAACAAAGATCTGTACAAGGATATTCATTATCCCAGAATCCATGGTAGTGGCAACTTGAAGACAGTGTTAATGTCTAGTATTAATTGATACGTTAAAAATAACTTGCACCTTCATAAAACAGAGTACTATAGAGCTATTTAAAAGAATGAGAAAGATCTGCATGTGTTCATGTATGGGAAGATAGTCACAGTGTATTATGTGAAAACAAATAGCAAAATTGTATTGAGTTATATCCCATAATTATTAAGTTGCACATATATATAGTGTATATGTTAGTATATACATAAAAATACTCTTGGAGGAATAGACACTGAAATAATAACGTTGGGGTTGGGAGGATGAGATTATGGGGAACTTTTACTTTGTGATCTTGTTAGTTTGCTAATGTTATTAATTTTTAAATATTCACATACAATGCTTTTGGTAGGAGAAAACAAAGATTAACTTACATAAAATGGATAGAGGTAAAATTAACAACAACGAATGAACTACCTTAACAGCATTTGATGTTTTTGTCAGTTTCGTGTTTGGAAAGCAAGTGTTCCCCAACATTCTTTGTAGCGTTCCCCTGTCCGTGCTGAGCACGTTTCCATGCAGCTGATGCAGAAGGGAAAAGTATACTGATGCGTGTCCTTAGAATTAGCGAGAGCTGATTCCACTTTTCCCTTGTTCTCATAGATGTTGCCAGAGGAAAATTACACATTTTAATGGAAGCCAGATTACCAGCCCTCTATAAATTAGAGAGTGACTATGAGATCCTTGAAAGGTGAGTGTACAGATCATTGATTTGTATGTGTGTGTGTCTTTAACATTAAAAAGTGAGATACTTTACTGCCCAAAGGCTGTGTCACTCAAGTTTGGTTTGTGCTAATACCAAGTACATTCAGGTCACACATTCCAGTGCTAATGACTTAGGAGCAAGTGAACCAGAAGGACGTGGTGACTTAATGTGGCTGCAGCCTCATTTCTTTGATGATTTTAATTTAATTGTGAGTTTGCCTTTCTCCTTTTTTCTAGATTTCCTGGTGCCTATCTCAAAGGCAAGAAATACAGGCCTCTGTTCGACTACTTTGTGAAGGTGAGCTTAGAGACCTCTGTCAGGGGCTCTCCACAACCCGTGTATTTGATAGCTGGAGAGATACTCATGTTGTCTTATTGTTGCATTGTTTGTATGAGTGTGCCTGGATCCAAAAATCTGTTTTAGTATTAAAAAAAATTTAATTCTATTTGTATCACCTTCTTGTTTTAATAATTAAAATCCTTTCGGAATTTTTAAATACTTTTCTCAAGTAACATGAGGAATCACTTACATTGGTAAGATTTGTATCTGTATGTTTGTGTTGTTTATAGTCTGCATATCACCCAGGAAAGTCTTTGGGGTTTTTGTTTGTTTGTTTTCACAAATTTAGAATAGTGCTCAGAATAAAACTTTGTGTGTAAAAGTAAACAGAGTTTATTTCAAGGAATTGACGAGGTGGGTACTTTAAATGTAGACACTACAACAGAGCTCAAACATTCAGCAGCAGTTTTTGTAAGAGTCATAAGGCTGTTTTACGTGATTTTTCATTTTCTGACAACAGAGAATCCATAGCTGTAGTTGTAAGCCCCACCACCAACCACCACAACAAAGAACCGTCAGCAGGAATTTCCTGCTGGTCCTTATTTATGGGGCCTGGAGTAGAATAATGAGCAGCACCCTCAGACCTGCCTGGTTTTCACATTATACAGAAATTGTGCTCAGTGAGACAGCATTAGCCACAAAGCCTTACGTCGCAGCCCGAGGTGAAATACGTGTTTACAACTCTGGTCTGGTTCAGGGCAGAGACACAGTTTGGTTAATGCAGATGATCCTGCCGTTTGGGCTCTGTCCACAGTGTTGCTCACCTCTGTCCCTTCGTTTTTGTGCACCTGAGTGTTTTCCCAAGTTTCTTACCTCCTAATGGATTTCCGAGCGCTCTGCCTAGTCCGGCCCCTCCCTGTGAGCCTGCAGTCGTTTAAACATACCCTTTGCTTCTGTCAAATTGGCCCTTTCTTCTCCCTCCCTATCTTTGTTTTTATTAAATTTTCCTCCTATTTAAAATGAAAAAACACTTTATCATTCTGTAATGTCATATCATCTTGATACTCTTCAAGGCTGAACTCAGTTGCCATCTGAAAAAAAAAGCATTTTCTGAAATGGTTCTTTGATTTCTCCCTCTGAAAAATGTCATTACTGCGTTCTTCTCTTGTGTATCATAACACGTTTTGTTTTATATTGTATTTGTTTTTATTTGTCTTAAAACTCTTAGACTAGATCAGTGACCTTTCTGAATTGTAGACCCTGTTGAGAACCTGATGGAGCTCAGCCCTCTCAGAAAATGCACGTGGACACAATAGAAAGGAACCCTTGGGTTCAATTGGAAGTCTGTCTGGCACATGCACTCATTTCATACTGATTTAAGTTATTTAAGACTAACACTTGTCCATTCAGTTAGCTTCCTGAAACTTCTGGGACCTCTGGTGAGTTTTAGAAAGATGCTACAAATTGACTTAGAACAAAAATCATCTGAGGTATGCCTAAAATACACGTGTTCGGAAGCATGACGCGGAAGTTACGAGAGGAGATGCGGTGTGTGGAGGGCAGCGCCATAGCTCTGTGTGAATGCCGACCCAGCTCAGCCCGGCAGGGGCAGGATCTGGAACTGGACTCTGAGAGACAGGAATGGGGTGCAGAGTCTCTTTATCTACAGTTAGAGACAGTAAGATAGATACCTTTGGATTCCCTGCTCCTGCATCTGATTCTGAGGACACACATATTCTCTCTCCATGTTTAAACTATCGGAGACACAACTTTTAGCACCTGTCATTCCCCACTAACAATATTTCCAGGTGATTTGGGTTACAGCAGTTAAAAATACATGGGTATTTTTCAAGTTCAGTTTTAAGTGAATGCCGAAGGATTAGCCATCTGTGATCTAGCTGAAAATAACATTGTGTTTGGAACCACAAGACCTTTCAGGTCCCGGCTTCACCATTACTAGTTGTGTGATTTGGGCCAACCTTTGTCTTCGTTTCAAGTTTCTTCACCTGTGAAATTCAGATACAACCAAAATACTTTTTAAACATGGGACTGCGCGTGCCTTTTTTCACAGGATTATAGGATTAATTGTGAAAATCATTTCTAAAAGTACTTTTTACAAAGGCAAGGAGGTAAGAAAGCAAAGAATTAGTTTGGCTGAAACAAAGGGTATGTGAAAAGAAATATTAAGAAATGAAAGTAGAAAAAAGTAATCTGTGGTCTTAAATGTATGAAGTTTATTGTTGTTACAAAGAAAATCAAGCTGGAAACTTTTCCTCTCAGTATTCCGGTGGATGGAATACCTATAACTGGAACTTGTAAATCGGTTCCCAACCTGATTCTTTCAAAGTTTGCCTTTATTACTTAAATAACCTGAGCTGGACTGAAAGGAAAAGACACAGCAAACCATATGCAGGGATTGAAACTGTACCAGGAAGGCAAGCATTGAGGGAGCGTGTCTTCTGAGACATTTTCATGATAAACTGCATGCTGGAGCAGGGTGAGATCAGAGAATGGATGAAAAAGCAGTTTTGTGGCTAAGAAAGTTAGAAATTTTTCTCTGCAAGTCTTCAGATACTGATTTCATTTATAAATGTTGGACCATTATTCATGGGATAGATGTATGGAATTAGCATGTTTCTTCCCAATCTGAATTATTCTGCCTTTTCTATTTCTGAAAATATTTTTGGATGTTAAAATTTTTTTTCAGGTTCTTACCAAAAACATTATCAAATTAATGTGATGATGTGGTCTTGTTTCATCTGTGAAGCCTGATAACCTTTCTTTTCCAGTATAAAGAGAACGGTGCCTTTACTGTGCTGGTTGACAACTATGTGAAGGAGGAAGAAGGCACTGGGGTTGTACACCAAGCTCCGTACTTCGGTGCTGTGAGTAGTATAAATCTTGCATATATGTTTATGAGAAGTTAACATCAGTGGCCACTGAGTCGTGTGTGTGTGTGTGTGTGTGTATTTGAGAGAGAGACAGACAGACAGACAGATATTGCTTGCTCTTGTTCAAACTGTGGAGTCAACCTCTTTTCAGGCTCACTGCCCCAAAAATGGCTTATAAAACTTGTATCCGTGATTCCTGTTCACCAAGTTGATCTCTGAAAATGATGGGCTAAATCCTGGGTGTTGCTGGGTATTTAATCTTTCTAGAATGTGTTCATTCATTCACAGTTTACTTGCAATGCACTTTGCTCTTTATGATGTGCAATTCTGTGAGTTTTGACAAGGGCACGAGTCATGCAGTCATACGGACACCGCAGCCATCACAATGCAGAAAGTTTCCGTCACCTCTGCTGTGTTCCTGATTAAATACTGCATGATCAGAAGAGAGAATTTGACCTCTTTCCTCAAAGCTATGCAGTGTCATTAATTTTAAATTTTGCCCAGAGTAATTTTTCTAAAACTAGAATCCTTTTTCTGTCACTTGTATATGAATAAAACGAAAGAGCATAGGGATTAAGGCCATGCATTTAGAACCAGACCTCACCTTAAGTCACAGCACTGCCACCAGCAGACTGTCCCTGGGTAAGTTACTTAGCCTGTCCGGACTTCCTTTTCCTCCTCAGTAACATGGGATGATAGTACTTACAAGGATTAAATGGAACCATCCATATAGAGCATTTAGCTCAGTGCCTGACGCTGTAATAGTGCATTCATGCCAGTGTAGCACCCAGTGGGGACAGACAAATTCCTCTTGGCTTGATCACTTTGTCAGTGAGAGAGGCCATGAAGCTAGTCTGCCTCCACTGGTCATTTTTTTTTTCAATACTTAACCTTTGCAGGGATTTTATTATGGAAATCTTCAAACATAACACAGACATAAAGAAAATATAATAATTTCCTTATGTTTGCATCATCAAACTACATTAACTATGAACATTTTGGAATTTCTGTTTTATCTGTCTTGCTCCCTCTCCCCTTCCCCAGCACCTTTTCTGTTTTGGCTGGAAGGTCTTACAGCAAATCCTCAATATCGTATGTTTTATCTGCAAAGACTTCTGTATACATCTGACTGAGAAGCTACCATGCCACTGTACCCAATAAAATGAACAATTGCTTAATATACCTAATAGATGGTCAGTATTCAAATTAGATATTTTCCCCAGGATGACTATCGGGTCTGCATGGACTTCAACATCATCCAGAAAGACTCTCTCCCTATTTGCCCTGTGGATGCTTCGGGCTGCTTCACGGCGGAAGTGACGGATTTTGCAGGACAATATGTGAAGGTCTGTGTCTCTGTGGCTTCAAAAGGTGTCAGTTTCATCATACTTCTTTCATTCATCGGTTTTTTGTTTAATAGTTTCCATATCTAGGATTTTTTTTTTCCCCTGGGAAGTTGGTTTGGTTTGGCTTTGTTTCAGCACGTAAGATCAGAAAAGACAGACTCATGACCTTAAGATCAGTAATCGTTGCTGATTGAAAACTTCACTGCCTTGAATGGTATGGAATGTACTTTAAAAGTATTTCAAGTTACACAGTGGCTAAAATGTGGGCCAAGTATTTTTATAATATGCTCTACCACTAAGCTGCACCCTCCCCCTTAATACTATACTCAATTATATTGTGTTACGAAGTATTACAGGCTACTTTAATGGCTGGATTTTAATTTTTTTAATAGGATGCTGACAAAAATATCATCCGGACCCTGAAGGAGCAAGGCCGACTGCTTGTTGCCAGCACTTTCACCCACAGCTACCCTTTCTGCTGGAGGTGAGGGGAGTGGCTTCAGGTTTGTGGGGAACTTGGTATGTGTGCCATCCCATTATTAGTTCGTGGTTCCCATCTCATTTGTATCTTTTGGTATTTGAAAACTTTATTCTTGTTTTAAGGAAAATTTTAAGGATTCGTATCTAGTTATTTCTTTCCTCAGATTTTATGTGAGAAATATAGACATATACAAATACATTTTATGTTGAGGTCACCTTTCTCTTGGATGAGATGAATCTGTAAAATTTTCTAATGGAATTTAGTGAGAAATACAATGTGTTGCAGGTTTTAATACAACATCATACTATAAAGATGTGGATGAAAATGGTATATGCAGGGGCATCATGTTTGTTGTGTTCCCATGGGTTCCCTTTGCTGAAGCTGACATCATTTCTTAGACAACTGTCACAAGCAGAGCTGTATTTTCTTTCTTATCTTGTTCTCTTATTAGCCTTTACGTTCTTAGTATCGCGGAGGGAGATGACCAGTTCTGAGCGCGTAGGTATTAGTGTTTGCAATAAAAATGAATGTCAGCAGGAAGCCCAATAGGTGGGGCTGATGTCAGTTAGAAACAAAGGGTCAGTGCTAACCCTGGGCCCCTGCCTGCCTCAGTCTGACCAGCCACGTTCTGTATTTTGGCTTCCAGGTCAGACACTCCCCTCATTTACAAAGCAGTGCCCAGCTGGTTCATCCGAGTGGAGCACATGGTGGACCAGCTGCTGAGGAACAACGATCTGTGTTACTGGTGAGCAGTAAGATGTGTGTCTTTATAATGTCCTTTGTCACGTCGCTAGTATTGGTCTACACTTTCCCCAAGTAATTTTTAAAGGCAAAAGATTTGTATGATCTGAAGAGAAACCAGAGTATCCCCGCTAAGTAATTTTAAAAGCCATCTTCTACTGTGTATTGTAATAATACAGTTGTTAACATTTTTTTCTGTTTATTGAGAAACACAAAATAATTTAAATAATATTAAATGACATAAATGGCATCCCTCTTATGACAAGGCATATAGGGGAACATTTTTCTTTTTTAAACCCGTTGAAAATGAGAAACTGCCTTTTATTTGATTTAAAGAATGGAAAGACTTCGGAGAGAAATCTGGCTGTACTCTCAAGAGTCCGTTACCTTGAAATAACAGTCATTTTCAGGATAGTCATTTATTTTTGGATATACCCACAAAAACCGTTCAGACTTACTACTTTTTTAATTAAAGTATAGTTGATTTACAATGTAGTGTTAGTTTCTGGTGTACAGCATCGTGATTCAGTCATACATGTATATATATGTTCTTTTTCATAATCTTTTTCATTATAGCTTATTGCAAGATACTGACTGTAGTTCCCTGTGCTATATAGCGTAGGACCCTATTGTTTATCTGTTTTACATACAGTAGTTTGTATCTGCTAATCCCACACTCCTAATTTATCTTTCTCCCGCCCGTTCGTCCTTGGTAGCCGTAAGTTTGTCTTCTATGTCTGTGAGCCTGTTGCTGTTTTCTAAATGAGTTCATCTGTCTCATTTTTTCAGATTCCACATACATATACCTACTGCTTTTGACAGTTGTTATTTACATTCCTAAAATATGTGTGTGATGTCTTGTGCACTGTGGCTTCACGGATGAGGACTGCAGGGACAGAAGCCTTGCTCCTCAGCTAACATCTAACTCGCAGAGAGGTGTGACAGGAGCCCCCCACCCCACCTTTTCCCACAGGGGATACGTTCCAAGATCCCCAGTGGATGCCATGTGCCTGAGACACAGATAATACTGAACCCTGTGTCATATGTACTGTGTTTTTCCTATACATACATGCCTGTGATAAAATTTAGTTTATAAATTAGGCACAGTAAGAGAATATCCAAATTGCCAGCATCGCTGCTCTTGTACTTTGGGGCCATTGTTAAGTAAAAATAAGGATTACTAGAACACAAGCACGGAGATAATCAGCAGCTGAGAGGATAACGGAGATGCCTATAAGTGACTGATGGGCAGGTGGCATATATACCCTGGATACGCTAGACAAAGGGATAATTTGCGTCCCGATGGGGCGGGTGCAAGGGCGCAGCACTTCATCACGCTGCACGGACCAGCGTGCAGTTTAAAACTTAGGGACTTTTTATTCCTGGAATTTTCCTTCTAATATTTTTGGGCCACAGTTGACTGTGGATAACTGAAACCGTGTAAAGTGAAACCGCAGATAAGGGGGAGATCATACTTCAACCTGTAGGTGCAAAAATGACGTAAGACCAAACCTGTGTATCCCAGAAGAGTGTTTTTCACTGAGAATTTTGAGAGAATTACTATTTCTAACTTACCCCAAGAACCCAGCTTGTCTGAAAAAACTGCATTTCATTTTGGAAGAATGGGGAGAATCTCAGGGCAGCAAAAGGAAATTACAGCTTTCTTCATTTCTTAGCAAAGTGACCCTGACTTCTGTAGAAAAAGCAGAGCAGTTTTTCCATTTTTATACCCAAGAAGCTCTTCAGTTTCCTAATGTGTGAAGTGTTGAGTACGGAAAGTGACCCAGGTTGGTAACTGAGGTGCCTGAGAGGACAGGATGTTTGGGAGCCTAGGGGTGCCCTAACTCAGTCTGGAGCTTGAGGAAGTTTCTTACAGAGCTGAACCTTAAAGGATAAGGAGCCATTTACCAGTCGGAGGCAGTAGGAGCCTTGGCTTGGGCAGGGGGCGGGGGTGGCTGAGGGAAAGAAGGAGGTGGGGTGAAGGTTACCACGGTGGAGGGATGGCATGTGCAAAGGCACTGAGGTGCGAAGCGCTTTCTAAGGAACTTACCTCATTGCTAAGCCAAAATTGCAATGGCAGGGGGGCTGCAGGTGAGCCTGGAGAGGGAGCTACCCACCAGCTACAAATAGCCCTGCCTGTTGGGACTCTTACTTTTTAGGTGATTAAGAGCCCATGCTAATGAGTTTCAGTAAAAGTGCTGTTGTGTGGGTGGCCTGAGGACTAGATCCGAGTAGGATTAGGCTAGCTGTCACCATGGTGATTGGTTAGAGGACGACAGCAGTCTTCCAGTTGGAGCGCAGAATAGGGAAGTGTATGTGCCGTGGAGTTTCCTGTTCCAGAACATCTTCCCTAGGCAGAATTCACAGCAGAAACAGCCACATGGATCTTCTGGTGCTGTCTGTGCAGAAGACATTCTCCCAGGAGTGAGCATTTCCAGAGCGTTAGGTCCACAAAGCATTGAACAAAGGCTTACACAGATCTAATTTGCAAGCTTGCTCACTAACGTTCTTATGTGATGGGTCATCCAATCTGTTTATTGTAGGGTCCCAGAGTTTGTTCGAGAAAAGCGATTTGGAAATTGGCTAAAAGATGCACGTGACTGGGCAATTTCCAGAAACAGATACTGGGGCACCCCGATCCCACTGTGGGTCAGTGATGACTTCGAGGAGGTGAGGCCGGCCAGTGTTTCCTGGTGTTGATTTTTGCTGAAGCTCTTTGTTCACGCTTCTCAATATGGGGTAAAAGACTGGTTTCTTTTTTTTTTTTTCTTAACCTCCTTCTTATTTCACCTGTTTTTTTCCTTCTTTATTCCTTCCTAGAATCATGACATAAATAAGAATATGTTTTTAAGGTTTTAATTTATTTTTACTTTACTTTTACTTCAATTAAATACAGTTTTGCATTTCCCTCTGTGTACAAATGAAGGGTGCAATTTGTACTTTTCTCAGGGAAGTCCTCATATTGTCTATCTTGTGTTGCTCAGATCCCCATTTGCTCTCTGTGGATTACTGATGAGCAGAACAGGGACTCCACACCCCGCACTAAGTTACTGCATGTTAAACCACTCTCATAGTGATGAACAATGATGACTTAAAAAAAATTATCAGAGCATTGCAGACTTTTAATCTATAAAATCAAACGTTTGTGCGTGTGGGTCTATGTATTAATCATACCTGGTTATATAGATGTATTCCCTTCTGTGCACTTTAGAAGTCATGAGCAACAGCAGCCCCCGTACCTCCATAAGTCTCCAGTGGGCACCTGAGAGGCAACAGTGAAGTAGCTGAATCAGAGGGCTTTTCAGGACCGAGCAGGGAGGGCAGAGAAAGAGGCTGTGGGTGTTCATTAGGTAGCGGATGACCTCTGGGTGTGAACCCAGCAGCTCCTGCTGGTGCAGCCCCTGTCGGATGACCCCTGTTCTGAGTGCCCCCGCTGGGCCCATCTTCAGACTCCCTACATGAGCATAATCCTGATACCTTGCGATCTGATTCTTTGGTCCAGTCCATGCACGGTAAATTAGTTCTCACTTTGACTTGGGAAGATTTCAGATGAAAGAGCCAAATTCAAGTGCCAGGAAGAAACTGAGTTGCCTTAGAGTAATAGTCTAGGCGTTTCACTCATGCTGGTGATTTGTGGCAGAGATTTGGACACGGTAAATCCTCAAGAAATACTTGTTGAGATGCTGGCTGTGAAATTCTCTCCATGTAGAGAATCCCTCTGATACAGGAACAGGTAGCAAAGAAGTGAAGTCGGCCCACCTACGGTCTCCCATGAGGGTGAGATGTGGATGAAAACTGCCCTGAAGTTCAGAGGTGTCTGAAACTGACCATGAAAGTGATGTGAATTAACTCTGTGATCTTGGCTCTGAGGGGCTCCTGCTTTTGAACTCTGTTTTGACAGGTAGTATGCATTGGGTCAGTGGCTGAGCTTGAAGAACTGTCAGGAGTGAAGATCTCAGATCTCCACAGAGAGAGGTCAGTTTCTGAATGTTTGACTCACTTCACTTCTGTCATTGAAAGGGGGTCAGGGTAGGTCCTAGCCTGTAAAGACATGATCTCTGCAGCAGGTCCCAGAGCTACATGCAGAAATCAAACACTGTTTGCTGGATTACTTTGTTGCTGATGATTCATGTCGTGCTGACGAAAGGTGGCCTCTGTCCTTGGCTTAAATGTCAGGAGACTTTGGTCTTACAACTGTCCAGACGGAGCACTCAGTGCTCTCTGAAAGCCTGTGCTTCTGTCTGCAGGTGCATATGAAAGAGCTGAGAGGGCCTTGTGTTTCCTCATCTCAGTTAAACTCTTAAGTTCTGTTTTGCTTAAGATTGATAGAAATGGCTACTTCTCTGTTTGTCAGCATTGACCATTTGACCATTCCTTCACGCTGTGGGAAGGGACTGCTGCGTCGCGTCTCTGAAGTGTTTGACTGTTGGTTCGAGAGTGGCAGCATGCCCTATGCTCAGATTCATTATCCATTTGAAAACAAGAGGGACTTTGAGGATGCATTTCCTGCAGACTTCATTGCTGAAGGCATTGACCAGACCCGAGGATGGTATGTTCCTTGTTCTTTCAAGTGTTGTATTGATTTGATTTGATTTGATTTAGCAGGTATTTTACTGAGCATCCGGCATTTATCAGCTGGATGTGTCAAACAAGACAGGCTCTGCTAAACATACCATACAAGTGTCTTTTGAGTAGGAATGTCTCACTACACTAGGGCTGTAGTTTTAGGGTTTGAATGATGTCTTTGACATTTTGGAATCCAGAGATTTGTTATAGCGAAAGATTAAGTGATATAAAACAATTCATGTGTGTCCTTAGCTTGTTAACTTCAAATCATTTACCCAAATGTTGAATGAGTATTTATATACAAGATAATGGTGTTGGGTTCTACAGATTTGAGGGATGGTTGAAAATGTACTCAGGTGTTAGGACCAGCCTCATAAATTAGCATTCTAAAACATCCAGATTTAAAATTAAAAAAAAAATGACGGCAAGGATTTTGACATTGGTTTTATCTGATGCCTTGTCTAAAGCAGTACCCTCATCCTCTTAATTAAAAAAAGAGGAGTTACCTTTCCTTCATGGATGAGCTTGGTTCTAATTATACATTCATTAGAAATGTTTCTGCAGGAGTGTAGAAGGAATTCCAGCTTTAATATTCTGGAATGGGCTGTTTCCAGCTTCCAGTCCATTTACTTACAGAAACAGCTACCACATATAAATTCCTGTTCCTAGCGGGGACCAGATGGCTTCCCAGTGAGTTGTTTCTCTGAGGAGTTGCAGTGTCTGGCAGCTTTTAAAGGCCCTCCTGTGGGTCTGCACGCGCACACTGCCTCCGTCCCCTCCGGCAAACGTGGCTGCCTCGCATGAGAACCAGGGTCCTGAGCTGCCTTCAGAGGAAAGGGTGTGTTGCCAGGTATTCATAATAGGCAAGGGGCCCGATGTCCGTCCTTACCGGTCATGTCTGGTGATGTTCTTGGTGTGCAGAATCAGCTCTGAGATGGCACAAGTGCGTCACTTGTGGGGACAGCTTCCAGGGATGTGATAGAGCTCTTTTAGGGAACAAGCTAGGTAGCAAATAGACAACGTACATGAGACCTGATAGAACGAGGACGTTTTCTGTGTACCCGTAGTCTGCCTTTTGACTTGTGAATGAGAGCACCTCTTGTCATCAGACCGTCCCATATGACCTTGTGCTAAAGGCAACACACACCTCTGGATTTTCAGCCTGGCGTTTCCGGGAGGTCCTGAGAGGCCGCCCAGCGCTGCCTTGCTCTGCCGTGTGGCTGTCTGACTAGCCCCTCAAGGAGGGCGGTAGCACTGTCCCCAGCACTCCAGGGCTTTATTTGCTTTAAATAAAACACACTTTATTTTTTTCTAGCGCAAAATTCTAGTATGATCTGCAGTGGGCCCTGTGCCTAGTTTTCCAGCCCCCCCCCCCAGATGATTCTAATGTATCACAGGGATTAAGACCCATTGCTTTAAGTGATCATCAAGAAGTGTAACTCACCAAAAATAGAAATTCAGTCAAATGAATGAGCACAGTTTTCTTTCCTGTGCTTGGACTCCGCTTCTTTATTGAACCATTTCTTTGTGGGGTTTTTTCCAGGTTTTACACCCTGCTGGTGCTGGCCACAGCTCTCTTTGGACGGCCGCCATTCAAAAACGTGATCGTGAACGGGCTCGTCCTGGCAAGGCAAGTGCACCCCTCTGTGTCATGATGGGTTCTAGTTCCTGATGTTTGTTCTTACAGCATGTTCTAGTTGGAGCCAGCCATTTGTGGATAGAGGAATTTAGGAATGCCCCAGCTCTGTTACTATTCTTTTTCTCCCCTTTTTGCTTTTTTACTTTTTCCTGCTCTCCCTTCTCATCCAGCTTCTGTCTTGTGCACTCCACCTGTCACGTTCTGTCTCTGCACATCCCTCCATCTCAGAAGGGCTGCATTGAGGGCTAAGCCTGATGGAGGAGGACTGCGGGGAGGGCGTGTGTCCCATGATACTACTCGTGATAAAATACCATTTTTCATTTATAATTTTATGAAGTGCTTTTGCCTACAGCTCTTAGTAATCCATACATGGTCCTTTAATGTAGATTTCTGCTGTCCTCTTTTCAATATCAAGGAAGCTGTTAGTTCCAGAGGTTCATTATAGAGGAGTCTTATTTTTTCCTTTGCTTCTATTGCCTCTTGTTACTAAAAGCTCAAACAAGTGAAAATAAGGAAATGAAGTCTTTATGCATAAACAGCCTGCCTGACATGCCGTTTGAGGTGGAGGATGATGCCCAGCACCGTGCCAGGCCCTGTTTCGAGCATTCACACATCTTTGCTCATTTAATCCCGAGAGCTGTCTGAGATGGGTCCTTTAGTTGTCTATTTTGACATTTGAGGAATTTGAGGTGCAGAAAAATCAAGGTCACACAACAAATGAGTGATAAATTCAGGTTGTGTGCTCGGTCAGTCTGGCTGGACAGTATGTGCTTTTTTCTTTTTAGCTGAAAATCTTACTGAATTGTAGTTGTAAAAATTACTGGAGACCCCTCGTGTGCTCTACCTGGTTTCCTCCAGTGGTCACATTTTTGGAAACTGTAGGACGTTGTCACAAGCAGGATGTTGACACAATCCACCAATCCTACTCAGATTTCCCCAGTTCTGCTCATTTACTGTGTATATTTAGTTGCATGCAAAATTATCTCATGTGTAAGTTCCTGTATCCCCCAGCACAGTCAAGATACTGGGCCGTTTCAACATCACAGCGCCCCTCTGTTGCCCTTTTATTATTAACACTGACCCCACCCTTTCACACTCTCACACGCACACGCACACACACACACACATCCCACTGGCCTTCCATCCTAATCCCCAACCCCTGCAACCACTGATCTGTTCCCCATGTCTGGAATTTCATCATTTCAAGTGTAAAAATGGATTCATACCATATATAACCTCTTGTGATTGGCTTTTTTTTTTCACTCAGTGTAATTCCCTGGAGATCCCCCAGGGGGTTGTATGTGTCCATAGTCCCTTCTCATTGCTGAGCAGTGTTCCATGGTCACCCACAGTTTGACGTTTTACCAGCTGAAACACATTGGGGTTGTTTCCAGTGTTTACTAAAAACAAAGCTGTGAACTTTATATGTTTTGTGTGAATATGAGTTTTCATTTCTCTGGGATAAATGCCTTGGCTGTGTGTTTAACTGTTACCCTCAGGCGTCTTCCTGCTGCCACTTATCCTGCAGCTTCTCCACTGACTCACTACAGTATTCAAAAAGAAGCTTAAACAGTGTTAATAAAACAACTTTACTGTTGTGCCTTAATAATGGTTTGTGTCCCATTTGCACTTAAGTATTCCAACTTACAGATAATCTATAACCATATATAAAGATGAGCTGTGATGTTGACTTACTTAATTGGCATGTCCCTTTTGTTTTTCAAGTGATGGCCAAAAAATGAGCAAACGAAAAAAGAACTACCCAGACCCACTTTCAATCATCCATAAATACGGTGCCGACGCCCTCAGGTACAAACCAGCGCTCTGCCTTGTGTGTATTTGTCATTTCTTATGTAAGCATCTCACATTCTATTAATCATGTTCCTTAGATTTGGTTTATGATTCACTTTTTTTTAAAAACATATCTCTGTCATATGGAGAATTACTGGTTGGTGTGGTGTTGACTTTAAACCTGAAGGTGGTTTTCTAAATCTCTAAATCTAGAGGTCTTTCAGAGGATGAGGACCTGTGTTGGGTTTTATTGAGTAACACAGGCACTCCCAGGCTAGTTGCTGGTGCTCCTGCCTCACTCCCTCCCTGTCTTATTGGTGTTAGAATTCTCTTACCTCATTTATTTCAATTTTGCACTTACTCCGCAAATAACCATATATGGTATATTTATGCTAGAGCAAATAAAAAAGTAATGTTGAAAAGTTTTTAGAGACATATGAGCCACTGCTTGAAATAGTCATTGTCGTGAACACTGAATGCTCAGGTTAAAAGGAGCAACAGAGGTCTTGTTCATCATCCTCCTATTATGAACGCAGAGACCAACACCCAGGGGTGTGTGGCCAAGCACGCTCATGGTCTCCATGTTGCCCAGGAGCAGTTAGTGGCATGTCCTACAACCCCCTCGTTATCTGTTAGACTCAGCTTGGCGTAGCTGACAACTTGGGACTGATAATTCTTTGTGTTGAGGGCTGCCCTGTGGGATGTTCAGCAGCATCCCTGGCCTCTGCTCCACGTCCCCTCTGTGCTGGCAGAACACCTGTGGCTGTTCTAGTGAGTCTCTGGTACCTGCACATGGTGTCCTGGGAGGAGAGCCAGGCTGCTTTGTCCTGGTGCCACTGTACTGCCCAAGGCCTATGCCAAGACGGACCAGCACAGGGCACGCTCCTAGGCTGGTCCAGTACCACATTTTGGTGTGCAGTTGCATCTTCCCCTTATAATTTGCTAGGTCTCTTACACAAAGTAAGAGCATTGTCAGTTTTAAATCGACTGTTAGGAGAGTATAATTCCCCACTTCTGCAGAAAAAGTGCCGATTGGTGTTGCCCTGTCAACTTGTCAAGCAATATTTGCTTTACTGTCTACATTCCTCTTGGGTGTAATTTTTCTCCTCTTCCAGATTATATCTGATTAACTCCCCTGTGGTGAGAGCAGAAAACCTCCGCTTTAAGGAAGAGGGTGTCCGAGATGTCCTGAAGGATGTCCTGCTCCCTTGGTACAACGCCTATCGCTTCTTCATCCAGAACGTCCTGCGGCTACAGAAGGTGAGGGTTGCAGTGCTGTGGGTGGGGTCTGCCCCGGGGGTGGGGGAGCTGGGTTCGTGCAAGACATTCAGGGGTGAGCTGTGAGGTGGAGTTCCGTGGGAGACTCAGCAGAGTGGGCCCTGTGGGTCGGGGCTCAGCCACTGGGGGGGCCGTAGATGAAGACGCGCAGGTGTCGGGGTCCACGCTGGGCTAGGAGCGCAGAGCTGGAGCTTCACCTGGGCGGATGCTCACCTAGGCGGGACACAGAAGCCTTGCCTGTTGAAGGGTTGCCCTGGATATTCATTTGACCAGCCAGATTTGGTGCTGGGGACTTGGTGATAGGGGAACCAGTGAAGCGCCAGCTGCTATCAGAGAGTAGGTGCCTAGGATGCTGCAGTTGGGTGATCAGGGAAGGCCGCTTGATGAGTGCATTTGGGCTGAGACTCTGAGCTTCTCACTGGGTTGTTGGGATAAAAAAATAGCGATTGTGACGTATGTGCAAGTGCCTCAGAGCAGTTTCTTGCTGGCCTGGGAGACGTCTGAGAAGCTGCTTCCCCTGCCCCCACTGACCGCTCTCAAGCCAGCCGGCTTCACTGCACATATGCCTGTTCGTGCTTTCTGGACTCCATCTGGGGTCAGGGCCCAGGTACCACTCATCTTTTTATCTCTAGCACCTTACAGTAGATTTTCTTACTAAATTACTTTTGACTAAACATGTGATGTTATTCCTTCCTAAGAAACTAGTTGGAGAGCTGAGCTTTGAGCATCCCATTGCAGCAGGCTGGTCCCTCGCTTCCTGCTGCCTCTGGCTCCTCTCCGTCTGCTAATGACCCCTCCCAAGAAGAGCAGGCATCTTCCCCAGGCCCCTAATGTTGATCCCACCACCTCTCAGGCCAGCAGTCTTTAAACGGGTCTGCTTTGCAGGCCTCTGCTGGTGTGGGGCCCGGGAACACAGGCTGGGCTGAACCACTCATAGCTGGGCTCATCTGGGCATGGCAGCAAGATGCAGGCTCCACCATCAGGTGCCTAAATCAGGGCTGGAGTCAGTGTGGTCTTTTCCCTGCCAGCCTGGTGGTGGTGCACTTGAGTAGAGATATGGGAAGTAGGCCTTCAGGAACAAGGAGGATTTTGCAAAGGAAAAAGAAGGGGTGGGATAGAGCATTCTAGGTAAGTTGAATAATCAAAGACATTAATTCCTAGTAATCATTTTCAATTTATAAACAGTTGTCCAGTCCTAGCCAGTTTTACTGTCCTTCCTTCCTCAGGTTTAAAGTATTATTAACTAAACACTATACTTAACAAGATGTTGAAATATTTCTTAATTCATAATTACTGTTTGGGGCATAGAAATCATTTTTACCTTAATTCCCTTTAGTTCACTCAAAAACGTAACTCATTAATTGAGGACTTCGTGTTGTAAGTTTAGATCTTATTTAGAAAACATGGCTAAAAATCAGAAATTTAGACTGCCAAGTGGGTGTGGGTTTGTGTGGTGGTTTTTTCAGCTTTGTTTTGGTTGTTTGGCCACTTCTTTCAGTTTAAGTAATTTAAAGAATTCATTTCTCTGCAGTAGTTTCCCCCAAGCATGCAGAATGTTTCAGTAATTATTACTTCCTAGGAGGAAGAAATGGAGTTCCTTTACAAAGAGAACATGGTTAAAGAAAGTGCCAACATCACGGACCGGTGGATCCTGTCCTTTATGCAGTCACTTGTTGGGTTCTTTGAGACGGAAATGGCAGGTATGTCTCTCTTGGGCCTTCCTCCCAGGAGTAAGGACTCTTGTCTTTATAATTGCCATTTTGATATTTAATTATTTTTCTTTATAAACATAGAGGAAATTTTAAGAGATACAGAACAGTAGATAAATGTGTCTTTTAACCTCTCAAATACAATTTTAAGGCTCGTTAGTTGTAGAAATGTGCTGTTCCAAGGCTTAGGGGATTGTCTTCGGGGTGTCCAGTGGCCTCACCCCTCCACAGACACCATGTGGGTCCATGGCATCACGGGCTTCCAATAGTGGATGCCTGTGGGTTCAGAACCCAACTTCACCAACTTGTTCCCTGAAGGAGACATTGCTTAAAGTCTGTGAGCCTCAATTTCTTTCTCCGAAAAATGCCTGGTATGGTTATTACAAGACTCAGATAGAAATCATGTACATAGAGTAGCTAGCCGGTCACAGGTACTCAGTATGCAGTATTTGTTATTGATGTGTTTTTAATTCATCTTTATGTCTGTTTTGTTAAATAAATAGTCCCTGTTCAGTCTGGAAAAATTGGGGCATACAGAAAAGCAATAATGAAATTGACATTTCCCCACATTTCTATTACCTAACAACAGCAAATTTGGTTTTAGACGGAGGTTAGAAAAGTAGGTTATTTTGGTTTCCTTGAGGTTGAAGACAAAACAACCGTAAATCAAGGTAAGGAATTCCAGAAACTGTTAACCAGGATACCTGAGATGGGTCTGATAAAGTAGGGCAGAAGAGGAAAGATGGCTTCCCTTGTGCGCCCTGATGACATACACCAGCCTCCCCTAGGTCTGCTGTTCAGACACGGCACTCCAGTGGACCTGAGGGGCCAGAGCATCCCTGTGGTCTATGCAGAGTCCATGCAGGGCTCTGCTGTTCCTCAGTTGGTACGTAGCTCTTCGTGGAATAGTTGGTGCCTTTGCACTTGGGATGGTTAGTCCAGGAAATTTGAGTCCTGAAGGACTACGCCCACCCTATTAAACATACGTAATAGGGATCACATGACTGTCGAGCTGTTGGACACATGACATAAGTGAGGATGGAAATGAGCATATGAGGCAGACTTATGTGCTGGGATCTCACCACACTCCCTGGGATACCTGCTCATTGCCGCGTCCACTCTTCCCTCCTGAGTGATGTTAATGAGTGGGAAACAATGCTAAGGGTTGCTCCGGGACCCTTGCCATCTTTCAGCAGCAGCTGCTGTGGTCTCCTGAGCACGTACACCCTGGCTGGGGCCTGGTCGGCCGAGTACCAGAGTTTTGGCAGCAGTTGCACACATAGCCTAGGGGTAAGGGCCAGGTGCGAGAGGCCAGGCGATGCCCCCTGAGCCAGTGAGATGGGCTCCAGACCCAGACTGCCCAGGGCAGTTCCCACTCCACCGACCCGTCGGCTTCGTGCCCTCGTCTCCCCATCAACACAGAGTCCTGAGGACTGAAGAGGCAGCATCCTTGGAGAGTCTGCAGTTACTATTAGTGATCTTACTTTCTAAGAGTTGAAACTTGAGCACAGGAAACTGTCTTCCTAGAAGGCGAGAAGTATAGTGAACCCTAGAGATAACTTAGAGAGGCCTCTTTCTTTACAGAATAGACCTCTGGTCACAGAAATTGCCTCTCTAGAAATGTGTGACCAGCAAATGCCTAGGGCTTGGTGCACCAACCCCCTACTTCTGGCCTTTGTGAACTGAGCTTCAGCAGAGAGCAGCTCTGCCTTTGGCAACTCTCACTGCATTCTCTTAGACCAGGAGCCTCATTAACAGTCATGAACTCTTCACTAACACACATCGTATTTGTTTATATTTTGATCTTACTCTCCTTGTCTTTGGTGTTTGTTTTTATGTAACAGAGTTGTCAGTTAAAGGGAGGGGGTGAATGGGAAAATCCTTAAAATAAGTCTTTGCCTCAAACAAGGTTGGCTAGACACCTTTAATTTCCTGCTTGCCCTGTGAGTTCCTCGGGGGAGCCTTCAGATTTTTCTAATTCTTCAAGATGTTACCGAGTCCAAACTCGTTCTGCTCTTGGCACAACAAGCCAATAAATCAAGAGACCAGGTGCTGGGGCAAGGAATAGCAACTTTATTCAGAAAGCCAGCAGACTGAGAGGACAGCAGACTAATGCCCTGGAGAACCATCCTACTCAAGTCAGAATTCACATTCCTTTTATGCCTTTAAAAAAAAAAAAAAAGGGTGTGGTCAGTTGTTGCAAACTTCTTGGTGCAGGAATTCTTTGTTCTTGGAGTCGTTTGTTTCTTGCAGCTGTGAGTGGGGCAGATCATGGTGCCCCTGTGAACCTCCAACAAAACCAATGTTATTTTCCATTCTGCAACTTGTTATCTTTATGTAAGTGCAAAAGTGGTAACATCCTTAAAGGTCAGAGCCTTGAGAATAGGCTCTCCTGTCTATTTCAGGCTAAAGGCAACATTGCTTCACAAAAGGTGCAGAGCCAGCAAGACTGAGCCTAGAAAACAGGGCACAGGGTTAAAGCCAAAGAACAGATCTAATATGGAGTCAGATTTCTTCTTTTCTATTACAAAGAGTCTCTCCTTCCACTGCATACTTTAGCTTTCTTTCCTTGGCTGCTTTAACGTTTAGAAATTCTGTTCTGTTTTGTTCATAGCCTGTGCCTGAGTTCCTCAGTGGCAGCACTGCTGACAGTTTGGGCTGGGTGGTTTTCTGCGGTGGGGGCTGGGCTGTGCATGGTAGGCTGTTGAGCAGCATTCCTGGAGTCCTCCCACCAGATGCCAGGAGCCTCCACCTCCCCAGTTTTGATAACCAGCGTCTCTCTCCAGATATTGTCAATGTCTCCTGCAGGACAAAATTGCTCTGGTTGAGAAGCCCTGATCTATGCTATGCCTCTTAGCATCTAATTAGAGCTTTTTATGTGTCTGTCTTAGTTGAGGTCAAGGTAGCAGAGTGGAAGGAAGTCAGGCTTTCGTGGTCCTGCCAACTTGCACAGTTCCAGATAAATGGTGCCTCGTGGAGTTGTGTGGCAGGCAGCCTCGGCCTCTCAGCCATGCAGGTGGGGTTTCCGGTTTTCTCACTGACATGGGAGTTTGTATGTAGTTTACAGCAGGGTTTGTATGCACCCCTAGGCACCTTGACAGCCACGTAGTATGTCCTCAGTGAATGAGTTATTGTCACTGCTTCACTTTGGTACTTCCTGTCTGCTTAGCAGGTGTGGCAGCCCTTGGATGATGGCAGGGGCTGCTTTCTCCTTCTTGTACCCAGCTCTCTCCTAAGCACCCTACTAATATGTTCTTGCCGCCTGATTGATTATCGTACTCTCAGCTTACAGGCTCTATACCGTGGTTCCTCGCCTGGTCAAGTTTGTGGATGTTCTGACTAATTGGTATGTCAGGATGAACCGCAGGCGATTAAAGGTAAGTGTAAGTTGCTGTTAGGAGAAGCAGAAAGTAGAGGAAGTGTGAGAGTTGAGGGAAAATGAGAACAACCAAAAGGAAAATAAAGCGTTTTCAAACGCTCTAACTTTTTAAAGCTATCTTTCTCCTTTTTCATTGTATATTAACTGGATGGGGGACCCGTAAGTTTAAAAGTCATCATGCATATTTTAAAATCGTAATTACGGACATTCACATGGGAGGGAAAGTCTCAGGCCAAACAGAACTACACTGAGCAGACGTCTTAAAACCCAGACTAAATTCAGACATATTTTGCAAATGTGGTTAGCTACAGCTGTGATCTCACAAGGGGCCCCTCTCCTCACTTCTCCCTCTAGAGGGACAGTTGTAAATTGACTAGACTCTTCCTTAAGCCTGTTGAGGACTTAGGGTGAGTGAAGCTTGGGTTCTGTCCCCGGGCTTAAGCTGTGCATAAACAACAGTGGTAAAAAAAAAAACCAGGGAGTGAGGGATGCTCAGATCACAGGCGAGACGGAGATACCCGTTGCCCGTCAGTCCTGCCTTCAGATGTGTCCATGATAAAATCCCTTAACAAAGCAGTAGCTTTGTTTTTGTTCAAGTACATTACACACACATGCACATGTATGTACACATGTATCTAGAAAGACATACACTGAAATGTTTGTAGTATTTATCTCTGGGTACCTTAATCGTGGTTGAGTTTTCCTGTTTTTTTTTTTTTAATCTTTATTTATGTTTTTCTCTACACTGAATTATTTGGTTTTAACAGTTTGGTGTGTGTTTCTTTTTTATTCACTAGGGTGAAAATGGGGTAGAGGATTGTGTTCTGGCCCTGGAAACCTTGTTTAGTGTTCTGCTCTCTCTGTGCAGACTCATGGTAAGATGTGTGGTCCTGTTCTAAAACTAGCCCTGTGTGCTACTCGTGGTTCCCCGTTTCTGCAGTGTCCTCCATCCGTATCTATTCTGTGTTCATTCCACCAGAAAAAGAAATACAAGTTCTGAAACACCTTAAATCTCCAGTTTCTTTTCCGAAATCTTGTTAGCTTGTATGTTCAAATAAGGGCCAAAACGCGTTAGTTTTAAAAGCTAGATTCTTTCTTTTCACCCCTGGCTGTACATTTCCGGTCAGGGTCTTTGCACCTAGACTCAAAAGCCACATCCCTCACCTTAGTGTGGATTCCTGTAGCTGCCTGTGAGCGCAGGAAAGTTCCTAAACTTTCAGTTAATTGAGATATTAACTAAATGACACACAAGTAAAAATTCCAGTTTTATTTTCCTCTGTCTTATTTCTGCCACTCTAGTTGAATGTTATAAGCTTTCTATTTGTTTCCTAAACATACATGGAATGAGAACCAGCTTCATGCCAGGTTCTGGACCTGGTGCCTCATGTCTGACTTCATTCTCCTTCATCCTGTGAAACGGGTGGTGTCTCCCAGTGCACGGACGACATTTGCGAGGTTTAGGGACGTTCCTCCCTCTGTGTACTAACGTGACAGGCACACAGTCAGTGGCTCCTGTTTGTATTACGGGCACCCTCCAGGGTGTTTTGAGCGCCTCGTCTATAGTCCTGGTCCCGTGCCTCATGGGTGTTCATCTCACCAAGTTAAAAATAAGGTCGTTCCTTTTTCATAGGGTGTGTTTAGTAACCTCATGTCCACTTCTGTGCATATTCCTTTGTCATTTCTCTAAAATGTTTAGTTACTGTTTTTCACTCTGAAATCAGTCAATGATGGCTGCATGTGAATAACTGGTGTCTTCTTTCCTTATACAGGCCCCCTATACCCCTTTTCTTACTGAATTGATGTACCAGAATCTAAAGCTGCTGATTGACCCTGTTTCTGTCCGGGACAAGGACACATTGAGTATCCACTACCTCATGCTGCCCCCTGTTAGGTAAGAATCAGACACACGTGAGCCTCGCTGGGGCCCCGGGAGGGAGAGCTGCCAGAGGCGCACTGACGTGGGGACCCCAGCTCCCTGCCGCAGCCCTGCCCTGCCTCGCCTCCCGCCTGAGCTGCTGCTTGGGCTCCAGAGTGGGTGGGAGGGATGCTCAGTGCGGAATCCCCTGTCGAGCTGTGCCAGGTGGGCTGTGCGTAGGCCTGCTGGGGTTGCCTTGGGGAGCTGCCGGGCACTAAGCAGCAGGCTGAAGCTTGCTGCCTGCTTCTCACCATGTGCCCCCAAGGCAGGCACGTGCTGTCCTTCCCAAGTGCCTCCCTGGGAAGCCTAGCCTGTCCCTCTTCCTCATTTAAGCATGCCTATTCTTTGGGATTTTTCTCCTTTTAAATCTAATCTCTCAACTTCCCTACCTCTACCAATCAGAGAGGAGCTGATTGACAAGAAAACCGAGAGTGCAGTGTCTAGAATGCAGTCTGTGATTGAACTTGGGCGAGTGATTCGAGACCGCAAAACTATTCCAATAAAGGTTTGAGGTTTTATTTCTGTTTTACACTGCGCAGACCTAAACAATTATGTGTTTGGAGTATTTTATTATAAAGAGCTTCCCTTAATGGCATAAATTTCTTTTCTGCAGTAAGGGTGTGAATGACAGTGCTAGATAAGCCTGTTTAGGTTCTAGAGTTTGAGATTCAAATAAAACATTTAACATTCTCTGCAGTTCAGCGGACTGGCTGCTGAGTGAACTTTCCCTTCCCTTTTCTTTCCAGTATCCTTTGAAAGAAATTGTAGTAATCCATCAGGACCCGGAAGCTCTTAATGAAATTAAGTCTCTGGAGAAGTATATCATTGAGGTAAGACAGTTGATTTGTGTGATTTGGTCCAGACTTCTTTCCTTAGGAAAGAAAATGCACTATTTTGATTAGTGCTCTTCCAACTTTGAGTGTATAATTTATCTTTTTCCTTCTGTGCATCAATATATACATAAATTTTACCATCCATGAAATTTACACTTTGCTTAGAACGATCGTAAGTTTTTACAGTGTAATTATAATTCTTTAACAATGATTTCAAGATCCATGATTTTTCATCTTCATGGAGTCATTTATCCCTTTATCCACTAATCTTTCCCAAAGTACTTTTCGACAATTAACAACAAAAAAATTTTGTTTCTTCAAATTATACAAATAACAAGTCAACACACTGGTTGTAAACATTTCAGGCACCGGCAAAAGTACAAGGTGAGTCTCTTCTCGCCCCAGCCGCTCCCTGGAGTCTCGTCGCCCCCTCTTAGGGGTGTTTGGTAGGGCGTCTCCGGCTGGGTTGTTCCCACATACAGCTGTACATACATGTACACACACCACTGGCTTTATTTGTGAATAGTGAAAATCGTGTAGTTTTTAACTTATTTTTTCTCTTTATAGTATTTCTTAAACAGTATCCTGTGTCAAAACCTAGAACTCTCCTCTATTCTTTTTAATAGCTGCATAGCATTCACTTTCTGGCTGCATCATAATTATTTAATTACTCTCCTGTTGTTGGAAATTTAGATTTCTGATTACAAACGAAACAGGTGTGTGTGCGCACGTGTGCATAGAGATCAGAGTATGGATGTTGGATAGGTTCCTAAAAGTGGAGTCAGAAGTTTAAACTGTCATGTTAGTTGTCCTCCCAAAAAAGCTTTATGCTGTGATGTTTTAAAAACAAATATATTTTTAATTTCATCTTTATTCCTTTCACAGGTAATATTTAAATCTTTATCATAGAAAATAATTTCTATATTTGATTTTGAATTGGCTTGAGAATTCCAGACAAATTAGAAACTAAAGAATTTATAACTCGTTTGAAACTAAAAATTTATAACTAAAGAGTTTAAAATTCTGTAATCAATGCTTAAGATATGGATAAAGATAGAATATATTTGAATAGAGTATCTTAATCACTGTGAGATCAAATAATGTAGTTGTGTATAGTGGCGAAACTAGAAATTTCCTGATAATTTGCTTTAATTGACTGTTCCTTGATTATCTTATTTTTATATTTTGTACTGTGCGGTCACCATTTCCTGCTTTATTAGTTGTCCATAGGTAACTAGCATGATGGAGGCATGAAATGTTATAGTTAACTGATTCTTCTGGTTAATTGATAGTTGACTTGGTGGTGCTTTGAAATTGCTTGAGCAGAGGTTACCCCTAAGACATGAAGCTCATATTTCTGATTCTAGAGTCCCTGTTAGTTGAGTTAGGCTCAACTTACTTGATTAATGTGGACAAGGTTTTTCTCATACCATATAATTCAGTAGTTGTTAGTATTACTTATAGAGTTACGCAGCTGTCACCACAGTTTTATAGCATTTCCATCACCCCCAGAAGAAACCCAGTATCCGTTAGCATTCATATGTCATTTTCTCCTCAAGATCGCACCATTCTCTGGCAAACACAAATCTGTTTTCTGTCTCTGGATATGCCTACTCTGGACATTTTCTATTAATGAAATCATACAATATGTGGTCTTTTGTGTCTGATTTCTATGATTTAGCACCAAGGGTCATTCATGTATGAGTGCTTCCGTCTTTTACCTCGCTACATAATAGTCCATTGTATGGATATACCACATTTTTTGGTCCCTTCACAGTTGATCAGTATTTGGGCAGTTTCCACTTTTTGGTTACTATGAATAATGTTGCTGTGACTCTGTGTGTCAAGCTTTTGTGAACATGTTTCCATTTCTTTCATTTTTATTTCATCTTGTCTACCAACTATAGGAATTGAATGTTCGAAAAGTTACGCTGTCTACAGATAAAAACAAGTATGGCATTCGCCTGAGGGCGGAGCCAGATCACATGGTCTTAGGGAAGCGTCTGAAGGGAGCCTTCAAGATGGTGATGACATCCATCAAGCAGCTGAGCAGTGAGGAGCTGGAGCGGTTCCAGGAGAGTGGTGGGTATCTGCTTCACTGGGGGCACCTTTCGCGGCCTCAGCCGGGTGGGTGTCTTATACTTAGGCTCCTCTTTGACTTTTACTGTCACAGCCTTTTCTTAAATAAAAATATTTATTATGGATAATTCTGATAACTTATTAAAAAGTAAAGAAGAGAATAAAAATGACCCATAACCCATCACCCATCCATTTAACATAGATTGAGTGCCTGCTCTCCAGTGTTTGATGTGTTAGGTGCTGGAGTCCTAGTAAGAGTCCAGTTTATTTCATTCCAGTTACATATACAGTTACATATGATTACGGCCTTACAAAATAGAGATGATGCTAAAATTTTAAGTTTTACACTTTTCACTCATATTTTTAAATTGTATGTTACTTTTTTATTTACTTTTTATTTTGCATGTTCACTTCACATTATAAACATTTCTATGTGTTACTAGTCTCTAAAATGCGATTTAAGTAACTGCTGCAGAAATGTTCCTTCCTGTGCGTACCTAATAATGTTTTTAACTAGCCTTTTATTGTTGGTGTTTTAAGTTGTTTCCGTTCTTTTGAATTGTATAGATAAATACTTCAGTGAATATTTTCACATGTAAATGTTTTATGGAATTAAGTCCTTTTGACTAGATTCTCAGATAGAAATTACTGACTCAGATAGTGGACCTGAGGTTATCATTGAATTCTACAAATGCTATTGTGGGCCTAGAAAATCTACCCTAGTAAGAGAGAGAGCAGAGCCCCCTGAGATTCATTACCAGCCAGTGGTGTAGAATGTTACTGCATCAGATGCTGCTTGTGGAGAAAAGGTGGCTTTTAGAGGTGCCAGAATGAAGACTAGAAGATATTCATAAGAAAAAATTTGTTATAATTTTAATTTAAATTAACTTAAATTTTAAAAGACTTAAAAAGTATTTTTAGATAAAGGGATTTAGCACTGAGGTTGGAGCTTCCTGCAAAGGAGAACTGGGTGAGAATTGATCACAGTTTCTCTAAAGTATCTAGAATACGTATTTTGATCTCTGAATGGAGCAAGACTGGAGTCATTCATGCAGCAAATATTTGTTTGGTTGGTACAGAAAACACAGAGTTAAATAAGACAGATACTGTCCTTACCCTCGTGGTGCTGGCAGACGTTGAAGATTTACGCACACAGTCATAGCTTTGATGAGTGTGCTGAAGGAAATCTCCGCTAGGGAGCCTTGCCAGGGGCCCAGGAGTTCTCAGCGCTGCCGTGGTTAGAATCATGCGGGGTCTTTTGACGGCTACCTGGCATCTTGCGGCTCTCCTGGGGCACCAGGTGTTTGATTGTTAGGGCTCCCTCTGAAGTTGAAAATCATAAGCATGGAAGTGCCATGAGGAGGGATTTTTAAGGATTCAGAAATCCGATGAGTAGTTACGGAAATGTCCCAAGATTCCCCAAATTTTTAGCTATAATTTATAAAACATAAGAGGCCAGCAACGAAAAGTTGAATGAGTACTGATTTAACTCGCTTTGTTGAATTAACAAAATCTTTGTTTAGCCTTCAAGTCACAGATCTTAAGTTGTTTCACCAGTTAGCCAAACTATTACTAATTCCTGAAATAGGCCTTATTTGAAACTGAAGGCGTACAGTTTCTAAACCGTTGTTTCTGAATGGACAGTTCTGCATTGACAGAATGTGAAATAGTTTTCAGCATACGGTGACATAAAGTGAAAATGACAGTCCATTGCTCACAGACCAAGAAGATCATTTGTGGGTGACCGCAGTAGGCTTCCCTGAAAGTGGGCATTGCCATCCTCAGCTGTTTATACATTCTGCCTGCCATGAAGGCATGATGCTCAGAACTTCACACTGTCTACCTCTTTTCACCCTCACTGCCAGCAAATAGCAGAACACCAGGGTCCTACAACCAATAAGTGGTGGGCCAAGTCCAGTTTGACTCTGCAGACTGCTTGCTTCATTACGCCATGCTGCTCTGTGTTTATGGCAGGGATTCATTGCCTCCTGGCACATCTTTGGACCTGGAAGTTTACATACAACAGTAGACATTGGTGGTGATTTAACTGTCCTCAAGACAGCAGGGTGCAGCCTAAAGAAAGTCTGTCCCATCCTTGACTACAACCATGACATGAGTCAGGAGGACATGACCTCGTAAAGCCTCTGTAGCTTGATGACATGAAGCTTTTATGACAGAGTCGCACAGTATGCTGGCAGTAGGGCAGCTTGAGGGGTAGGGTGCGGATTCAGTAACTGTGGCAGTTGCTTCTCCCTTAGGGACCATTGTCGTGGAAGGCCATGAACTGCACGAAGAAGACATCCGTCTCATGTACACCTTTGATCAGGCTGCAGGTGAAACGACACAGTTTGAAGCTCACTCAGATGCGCAGGTATTTTTCTGTTCTCTAGACCATTTCTTTACCAAAAGGTAAGGACATAAGAGGAGAAGCTTCACCTGGGCCTCTCCTGACCAGTATTGGTAGCTTGTCTCAGGGTAAAATAAACCACGTATTTATTTTAAATTGGCCTTACTAAACTCCTCTATTATAACTCCTTGACATAATACATTTCTTTAGTGAATACATAAATATTTTGTGACTTAACGCCTGTAAGTGTCCTAAATGTTGGGTCATACAAAACAAGGAAGGTATAATCTCTTTCAAGGAGTGAGTCAGTCATGGAGACAGAAAAGTAAGCCAGTTCTTACTGTTTTACCTGATAAATGCAGAGAAGGATTCCTCTTTGAAGTCTGGGGTGGACGTGGGGGTGGTTAGAGAGCACCCCTTTTGGACTCTGGGGTCTGCATTTTTTGTTGTGATGGATCACACCGTCTGTCTTCACTCGTGACCAGCCTCCTCCAGGCAGACAGGTTGTAAGATCTCCCGTGTGATGGTGGGGGGCTTGCTGGAGTCCCTCTGTGCTTAGTCTGCCACGTACAGGGGGACACACGGAGTATGAGGCAGGCCAGCCTCCCCTGGGCTTTACACGGGGGCTTCAGTGTGATGTAGACAGAACACCATGCGGGCAGACAGCGGTGAGAAGGCAGAGGTGAGGAAGCTAGGGAAGAAGGAGTTGAGGGCAGGGAGAAGGTTTGTAAACAGCGGGAGGATGCAGTCCTTTCTGATTACAGCCAATATGAGGGAGACCAGAAGAAGCTGTCCATGTTTAAGGAAATACGTCTTGTGATGCTTCTGAGTTTCCTGATGTGATTGTGCAGCGTGGGCCGTGGCTGCCCTGCCCTGGCTCATCATCCATTTCCCATTCTACCTCCTCTGCCTTCACAAAGTGGAACAAGTTTTGTTAACTTCTCTGATGGGAGTGTCCTCAAAAATACAAATGGGATGGTGCCTAATTTACAAGTACGTTCCACTCTATAATGGAAGTGTCACTGTTGTTACTACCATGTCATCATTGACAACCTTTAGGACAGATGAGATAGAAAAGTAGATCACGTTAACATGAAGGTGGCCATTTAAATCATAATAAAAAAAAGTACTGTGGTCCATTGTAGAAATTGTGTCTTGAATCACACCAATAAACCAAAGGATGAAAAGGGTCATGATTAATGAAAACAAGAGATGGCAGCTTTGAGGCCTTCAGTCCACTTGTTTTTGGTGAATCCGTTGTGAAAAGCTGTGCTGCTGTAAGAGCTTTATGGTTGGTGATTTTATTTATTAGAAGAGTTGGTATTATTTTTTAGGTAGGCAAAAAGCAGAGTTACACAAGAGACTCTCTTAAAAGCCAACTTCTCCTGTAAGCAGCACCCTACAGAAGAAAAATGAAAAGCTGGACCTTCTGAGATGAAGGAACAGCTGTTTACAGAGGACCCAAACTATTAAAAAACGACATTAATTTTATGTCTTTGGCTCAGTTGTGTTACTATATAGTGATGCATTATAGACTTCTCAGAATTTAGTTTTAATACCATTTTGCTGAGTTTGAAAGAACAGATAGTTCATATTTGATTGTCACAGTGTGCACCATTCGTTTGTACAGGCTTTGGTTCTCTTAGACGTCACCCCTGACCAGGCAATGGTGGATGAAGGAATGGCTCGGGAAGTCATCAATCGCATCCAGAAACTCCGCAAAAAGGTCAGTTTGTCAGATTAAGAACAAGCTACTGTTTGGGGGTTTTCTTTGGGGTTTTTTGTTTGGTTTTCGTTTGTTGAGGAAGAGAGAGGCAGGTATTATAAACCATAGTAACTCACTGATGATAATGAGTCACTGATCTGGGGTCCATTCAGATTGTACCCTTCAGGAGAGGTAGGCCCCTTCCTCCCCCTCCTTGCTCACTCCCAAGCTGGATGTGGCTCTTTTGATTCTCTGATCAGGAGCTTTCAGCCAACCTGTGCTCCTTGTCTTTCTTTTTCAGTTCCTTAGGGCTTCCACAAAACTGTCTTCTGGATACATAGCCCCCCTGACTGGCACAGAAGGTCATCAGAGATGACACTGGGTGTCTCTAAGGAAGGGCAGAGATGCAGTCATTGTAGAAGGGCATCTAGCTCAGGGGAGAGATTGTTGAATCTGGGCAGAGTCGGGTGGTTCTTCCTCACTCAGAAGCTGGGAGCCCGGGCAGGTGCACAGAGCCCATTGCCCGCCCCCACCAGGTGAGAGAGCCAGGTAGCTTCTACCCCAGGTCCTCCTTAGGCCAGGTGTCTGAGACCTGTAGTTCAGGGTCTGAGGCGGCCACTCCAGCAGACAGCGGAGTGCTCGTGAGTTCTGTCTTGGTTTAGCGCTTTGTGAGTTCTTGCTTGATCACTCCTTTCTTCAGAGAATTGATCAGGATGCTGGACCCTTCCATAATGACTCAGTGTGGGATCATCAGCCCAGTTTAACAGTCACCTACGATTTGATTGACAAATATGCTTCCCTTTTAAATTCTCTTTATGTGCTTTCAGTGCAATCTCGTTCCAACTGATGAAATAACAGTTTATTATAAAGCAAATTCTGAAGGAAAGTATCTGAATAATGTTATCAAAAGCCACACAGAGTTCATATTTGCCACCATAAAGTCTCCTTTGAAACCATATCCTGTTCCTACATCAGATAAAATCCTTATTCAAGAAAAAATGCAGGTGAGTTGTGAGTTCTGATTTCTTTTGAACTATTAAGAGATTTAGGATTAGATTTTATGTTAAGTTTATGGAGTCATATCTTGATAGTCTGTCTCCCAGTAGCAATTAATACAGTACTTAGTCCTGAAATATTACTCTGGACAGTAGTGAGTAGGGATTAAAGAGATGAGGTCCAGAAGAGAGGAAGGAGAATTAGAGCTGTTCTCATGGGCGTTCTCTTGGGGAAGATAACCAGGATTCATGAAAGAATTGCCAGGTTAGACGGCTGTATGGTGCTGTTTTATCTAAAACTGGAAAAGTCAACATTGTGGATTCTGGGACTGACTTTAAAAGTAAACAGCAATTGACTTGAAAAGCAGTTAACTTTTATGGTAGTAGATTAAACATAAAATTACGCTTTCATTTCCTATTGCTACATTTTAGATCTAACTATAAAAATCTGACCAAGACATGGAAGATACTGGCCCATAATTCAGAAGCAGGTTATTTATAACAAGGGAAATTCTGTGTCGGTTAGTCATTTATTCAATTGTTGGTTCCTGGTCTCATTCCTACTTTGTTTGGGACAACCTGAACCAGACAAGCAGGGCAAGTTACAAAATGGTTTCATTTTCTATTTTGCATATTTTAAAGCATAAGTTAAAAAGAGAAAATGAGGAGAAAAATTATAGCTCTTGACTGTTTCAGTAAAGAGATTGAGTATGCTCTCAGAATCGTATAGAGCTCTTTTCTTACTAAGTGGTTGCCGTCTTAATTGTTGACACTGGTCAGATGCTGCAGTCACATATTCTCACGTGTTCAGTTAAAAGGGTCTGACCTGGAACTTACACTCACCAGAGGATCATCCACGCCTGGCCCAGCTTGTGCGTATGTCAATCTTAACATCTGTACAAATGGCAGTGAGCAGAATAAGAGTAAGTGAACTCCGTGGTTTGTATTTTTTTTTTTAATTACATCTATGAATGTCTTTAAGGCTGTTTGAAGAGAATTGGTAAAATTGGGTTGCCTTTTCTTTCTAATTGTTATCAAAAATGAATCCACAGAAGTAAATGGTTGAACTTGCACTCCTAGGAAGATAGGGTAGGCATGCTTTTCCAGTTTCTCCCACAAAGTACAGCTAAACGTCCCAGACATAACAATATATTAAAAATAAGCATAAGAAGACTCGGTGGAGGGAAGAAGGTAGACCCGTTAGGGGCCTTGAGAACAAGTAAGAAAACAGTAGAGGGTTCCCTGGTTTTTCTTTTTGCTTTATGTATCCCAGCTTGTAGCTGAAGAAGCTGGCAACCTGGAACACCAGTGAGCATGGACCTAAACACCCCAACAAAATCCTGCTCTCTCTGGGCGGGGCCAGGAAACGGGCAACCTAGCAAGACAAAAAGTCGTCTAGACAATAACTGCTCTACTCCAGCCAAACAAGACGGAAGAAACTGTGGCTGCACCACCACTCACACCAGCAAAAGCCAAGTGGGAAGCCTAGACCTTGGCCAGGCTGAGGAGCCTCAAGCCCCCACTGCCATGGTCAGACCACTGCCATGGTCAGAGAACACCAAGCAGCGAGCTGGGTCATCCATCCTGCCTAAGTGATAATGAGCTCTTTTGCCCAGTAGTGTCATTGTGGGCCACGCGGAGAGCCTGGACTTCTATCGCCATCATGCAATAACAAGGCATCCCTTCCCCTCACCACTACCCAGTAGTCATGAGGCTACGTATCCCCACCACCCTGTCAAGGTGTCAGTGAAGGCCACGTGGGGAGCAGTAAGGAGACACTCCTACTCTTTGTGGCCAGGGAGGTATCTGTGGAGGTCTAGAGGAGAGTCAGAACTTCCTCCTTGCACCACTTTACAACCCCCACCCCCACCCCCACCCCTGTGCCCCAGAAGTGACAAGGAGTCCTGACCTCAGTACCAGTGCACACTGAGTAGGGAACCTGGACTTCTCTCACCAAGCAGTAATGAAGCAGTGTTCTCCCCTGTGCCTGCCCAGGTGAGATCAAAGTCAGCTAAAATACAGGAAGGATTTCAGTAAGAACCAGTCTCATTATGCCTAACATGTTCAGGTTTTCATTGACAATTACTCATTATGCCAAGAACCAGGAAAATCTTAACTGAATGAAAAAAGTCACATCAAGATGACAGAAATGTCCACATTATCTGACAGAACGTAAAGCAGTCATAATAAAAGTGCTTCACAGAGCAGTTACAAACATAGAGAAACAAATGGAAAATAGAAAGTCTCAGCAAAGAAATAGAAGATACAAAGGATCAAATTAAAATTTTAGAACTGGTAACTACAGTAATTAAAACACAAAAACTCAGTGGAAAGGCTCAACAACAGAATAGAAGAGACAGAAAGGAATTCATAACCTGAAAGATGGAACAAGAGAAATTACCCAATGTGAATAGCAAAGTTTAAAACAA